GGAATGAATATGTTTGTAGATCAAAGCTTTAGAAAATATGATTGAAAGTTTCATTAAAAAAAAAAAAAAAAAAAAAAAAAAAAAGAAGGCTCATGCTTATCTATATTATTCATTTTTAGGAGCATCCCCCCCACATGGATGAAAAAGGGACCTGTATCTTATCACCCTCAAAAATCAAAAGTTGTTTCAAAACCTGCTCCAAACTAAAGTTGCTTTTTGCATAACTTGAGTTGAACTAGCTGTTTTTCTCTTTGTTGGATTACCTGCATGTCACTTCTTATCTTTAAATGCGAATGTTTTATTCAGAGGTAACAGGACAAATCTCACATTTCTCCACAATATGACTCTTAATGATTCATTAGTTTAGGAAGATTACATGGCTTTCGTAACTCACACAGTCAAACTGCATTTATATATCTACATTAAGCCATCAGTTATTGCTATGGGTATTCTTCCAAAGCATAAGAAGAAAGATATTCTCGTTCTTTAGGTTTAAACTAAAATAACTAAAAAAATAGAGAAAGGTTAGGTTATTTAATTACGTCAAAGCCTCGAGGGATATCTGCCTAAGGGGGAGGGATGCCTTCATGGAGGACTTTCTAAGGGAAACTGACTCGTATACATGTTACACATGGGGAAAAGCATGAAAACACCCATGCAGCCAGCCTGTTCGCGGGATTCAAACCTCGGATTGAACTACCAGTGTTCAGCGACTTTACCGCTCGGCCGCTGGTGGGCCGAATTAGAGAAAGGAGTCTGCAAAGTGAAATTAATGGAAATTGAAAGTTCAATTTTATGTGACATACAGAAACAAGAAAGCCATGTTCAGACATTTTTCATGCAAACAAAATCTATAAATTTGCAGCAAATCGAAAACTACTCATTAGTCATCATATGAGGAATAAGTTTGTGTGCTATACAAATGGTTTGCCTTAAAAAGATAAGAGGGAGCTTGTATTTCAGAACTGATGCTGTAAGAAAAAGGTGAAGAAAAACGAATGTGCAAGGAGAATGTAGTTTCTCTCAATACTTATTTGCTTTAAAGAAAAAAAAAAAAAAAAAAAAAAAAAAAGGCATCTGCAAGTTAGATATTTCAGGTGAACATTGGAGTGCAGTGACCACAAATGAGTTTACAATGCAATTTCAAAGAATTAGACACGAAAATATTGTGATTGCAGAGCAAATATCTAATGGTAGTATGAGTGGATTATTATAGAAATGCCTTCGCAGATGGAGTTTAGCCTTTGCAGTGGAATCCTTTTCGATGAACTTTAAGAATAAAGACAGCTTAACTCTCATGGTATGTGCAAAAGCAGTTAAGTACTGCAATGCTCAATACTACAAAAATGTAAAATATTTGCATGTCCTTTACTATTCACAAAAGAAAACATGGAAAAATTGTGATATATTTATTAAAAAGAACTAAAACATCCTGGCCAAGTGTTGAGAAGCATTTAAGGAAAAGAGGTTTACTAGCAGAAAACTATTGCATAACTATTGCATGTATTTCTGAACTAAAAGCTGAAATGTTTAAATATCTACATTATCCAATGTAACATGCCTCACCCAGCCCACTGGACCAAGGAGTTATTCAGAAGAATCAATCCCTTTTTATACATCAATGTGTGAACTTTTAATGGAATGTTCATGATTTTCAGAACCAACTCATATTGAAAGACACAAGTACAAACTTTGTCTCTGGCTGGAAAGATGTAAAGAATATTACTTTATGTTTCCATTTGCATAAATTGTGTCCTGTAATCATGTTTATAGATAACTTAAGAAGGCTCTTTAGATTTCAAAACATATCTGGGACTTGTACCTGACATCCTGGATTTCATTACACATTTAGAAAAGGTTGGTGCTAGTGAACATGAAGTAGAATCTTGGGTAGACAATTCTGTTTCCATCATAATTTATCAAGGTAATGATGAAATAATTGAGGTGGGGAGAAATATGATGATGAATGGAGATATGAAGGTAGTAAGCAAAGTAAAAAAGTTACATGCAAGGAAGCTAACGAAGGATTGCAGACTTTCAAAAGATCTGCCGAGAAATTTTAGTCTATGCAGCACATAAAGTTATACAGCTTCATTGTGTACACAGCACATTTTTTAATTTACAGCCACAAACTTTTAAGCAGGCAGACATTCGAAGTTGAATGGCATCACACTAAGAATATGATAATTTTTGTGTGATAATAAATATGATTATTTTAAAATGGTGTCTAATTTTGTTTTTCTGAAATATAAAATTCATCAGAATGTGTTTCAATTTTAAATAATTTATATAAATTTCAATTTTATTTATTTCATTATGACTGACAGATACAAAAACATGACCAATGGCCTTCACTGTAAATTCTATAGATAATAAGCCTTAAAACATGACCATGTAAGTTCTAGAAATAAAATTCACTTATCAATAAAGTTCTACTGCTGCCAATTAAGAAGGATGATACTGTATTTAGAATCTTCATAATAAAATATGTCAAGTGTTGTAATAGATATACTTCCATGAAATAAAGAAACATTTTATGAATTTTGTAGCTGCAATTATTCGCAGGGTTTGTACACATTTCTGCACACAGAAATTAAGTACTTTTAAGGACCATTAATGTAGTGCCAATGTTGAATACCAGATGGAGTACAGATTGCTCATCGTATAATTTTTTTAATGTTTTATTTTTCGTTTTGTGGGTTAGCAATCAGATGAGTTGGACTCAAGATGCAGTAAAAGAAGGACGATGATAAAGACATAAATAAAAATGTATTGAAGAAGTTAATTCAGTTTATAACGAACTTATTTGTTAAAAATGTAAATACTTTAAATGTAATTAAACATGCTGTCCTTTTAAGTAGTTTCTTAGATGTCTTTTTAAGAAAGAACACAGTTTGCTCCACATTTGAAATTAAAACCAAAATATCTTAAACCGTACAGAATAACTAAAGAAGGGAATACTTACGACATAGTCAAAGAAGGAAGTCACGAAGGCCAAAACTGTATGGCGACATGCACTGAATTTCTAAAACCATGGAACAATTAATTGCTAGGACTAATACAGAAAGAAGAAGAAAAAGAAGTAAATTATATGTTTTTTGTATGAAGACGAAAACAAAGTAAAATAAAAACAAAGATGACGCTCTTAAGATGAAAAGAAAGGTGCTTAACGACGAAAAGAAAGAGGCCTAAAGAAGAATGAGACAATGCCTAAAGACGAAAAAACTGTGGTTAAAGCCGTTAACTACTGTTTATATGGCAGATGAAGCTTGAAGACTATGTCTGCTCATTTTCACATTCTTGAAATTGAAAGACAATCAGGACTTTAAACATTTAACTTTTATTTTTTATTATCTTTCTTGTTTTGCTTTTATCTTTTCTTTGTATTTGCAGTGTCGCCTGGAGGACCAGACGAGTGCAGGACGGCTGAATGATGTAGTGCCAATGTTGAATACCAGATGGGATACAGATTGCTCATCGTATAATTCTTTTATTGTTTTATTTTTCGTTTTGTGAGTTGGCCTCAAGATGCAGTAAAAGAATGACGACGATAAAGACGCAAATAAAAATATATTGAAGATGTTAATTAAGTTTATAACTAACTTATTTGTTAAACATGTAAATACTTTAAACGCAATTAAACGTGCTGTCCTTTTAAGTAGTTTCTTAGATGTCTTTTTCAAGAAGGTATTACCACATTAATGAAAAAAGTTAAGGAATTCACTTAAGGTTTAATAAAAGGATTCACATTCCCCCCCCCAAAAAAAAAAGTTGTTCAAGAGCTCCTCATTAGAAAAAATGAAATAATTTCGAAAAGCTTATGTTTCATTATATTATCATATTGCATATATTATCATTATTTTGAGAAAATTTATTAATATTATAATGTTCTAAAAAATTGTCGAAAAATTCCCATATCTCGGAATTAAAAATTTCTATAGAAATAGATCCTAAAATCGCAAAAATGTTGATAAGCCGCCAAATTTAAAACCGTTTAAATAAAAGAATTTACATCCCCAAAAATGAAAAGTTCTTTAAGAGCTTTTCATTAGAAAAAATGAAATAATTTTGAAATGCTTATCTATTATTTCTTGCCCAGAAACTCAAATATCGTAAACATTATAACCCATTAGAAATAGAAACATTATAACCCATGAACCCATTTAAAAGATAACCATATTTGTCAGTAAATCACTGAAAATATTCCTCCAAAATGCTTATTCACACTCAAAATGACAGTTGTAAAAATAGACAGAAATTTCAAATGATTAAAATTAAGGACTTTTGCAATTTTGGGTGAAATTAAGGACTTTTAAGGACCATACGAACCCTATATTCCCTTTTATGTGATATATCATTCTTGACAATTTGTTGCCATTCCTGTCTCACATGTCTTCATTATCTTTTGTTGATTTCTTCCCACAGTTTTTAATACATCTCTTTTTCCCCCCCTTTCACTTTCTGACACTTCCCTTTGTTGACAATTCTCTGTAGCAAGATTTTGCAACTCTGAATTAACTGACATATCAGTTCATGAAACTGAGAGTGGATAACACTAACAGTTACACTTTAATGTGTGATTTCCATTCTGCATTTGTGTTAAATGCAATTTTAATTAATAATTTTCCATATTCTTTTAAAAATTGTGTTTTAGAATTTTTTTCATATCATGCAAAGCTTATATGCCCTTTCTACACATATATAGAGAATAAATGTGTATAATATTCAATTCCCCCCCATTTAAATTTAGTACAATGCATAATGTATAAAGGATAACAAAATAAGATGAAAAATTATTTTATGAAGAAAGCAGTATGAAAAATTTAGGAATTACTAGCAATGGAATATACCTGAATTAATCTGTAATTACATTAGCACAATAAAGTTTCATCTAAATTAGAATTCAAAAAGAATAATCATATATATAATAGTTCTAGTTTCATTAGTTTGGCTAACTTGTGCATAGGAATACCTGTGAAATAAGGAGAAAATTTCAAGAGTGGAGAGTTTGCCCTGTAAACAAAAGTTCATTTGAATTTACTTAAAAATTTGTTATTATTTAATACATAAAAACTTATACTTGTATCACAATAAAATATACATAAAACTTCTTGTATATTATGTCACAATAAAAAATTATTATATTTCATACATATATAAGCTACAAATACAATAAATTCTTCACAAAATAATTCTGTCACACAAAATTCATTTTTACTAAACTTTTTTCACTTGACTATGCCATTTTCAACTTTTGGATTTTTAATTGGATTTTTAATGCTATAGCATGCATCCAAATATGTCCACACCAACTCGGACACAAGAGATCTGTCAGGAATTTGTTGAGCCATTCCATAAATAGCAGCCTAAGGATTAAGATTCTTATATTAGACATAAATTTATAACTCTTCAAGGATAATAATTTTTGCTACTTACTAAGAATAAAAAAAAAAATAAAAATTTTATATTTTTAATTACATTTCTCAATTTTTATATGAGAAATCATAAAATGAACAAAACATTCATTACACATCATGAATGAAGAATATGTACACATTGATCTATTTTATTTTCTAGAACAACAAGCACTCTTTCATATTGTTAGAGATATCTTGCTCCACATAAAAAAAAATGGACCATCATTTGCTTTGCTGCTTCAATCCTAATACAAAAATCACATTCATTTCTTATAATTAATACCTCTGAATGCATTTCATAGTTCCTGCCACTTGTTTTTGGAATTTCTTCTATAATATGTTGCAAAGGCCAAATAGCTGTTTGTAGATGTATAATAAAACCTCTAGTAAACAATTCTTTTGATTCTAAATGGCATTTGAAAGTAATTTTCAGTCTTTATCCTACAGAAGCAGCAAGAACAACCAATTTTGGTACCTTTTTCTTAGCTTAATGCTTAAGTTTTCCCATTTTATCATAAGCCTAGATTACAAGACTGCTTGGAAACAGCAACAGTTAGGATATTTGTGGGTCTACAAACACTTAAACTTCCACAGTGTTACTATAAAATTTTCACATGCTAAATATTACATACTGCAATAACAGTGTGCATATTCCTATATGAATACAAATAATTTATATCAGTTTTTTTTTTTTCCAGACAAAAGAAAACTAGTTCTTTCTGACTATACTCTCCTGAAATACTTTGTAATCAAAATAAGCAACCCGTACACGCATTTGCATGCAGCAGATTTCCACCTCCAAATCTGATGTTCATCTAACTGATTACTGTTTGTTTCTACCTTAAGTATGTTTTCCCCCCTCTCCCTCCCCCAACATAAAAGTTACCATTATCTTTAGCATGTGATTACTAATATTAAAAAAATAAATAAATAAATCCTTAGAGTTTGCATGAGTAATTTCTGCAGTTATCAGAATTGCACATATGCCAACATCTGATGAGACATAGGTATAATTTCATTGTCCACTGCTTATATTTATTTTTCTTTCATGCTACTTTTCACACTGCTTCTGTTTTATGGAGTTTTAATTAGAGGGAAATACACAGATTTTATTGGTTTGTTATCATGAGGTACCAGCTTTTAACTACACCTTTCACACAATTAGAATTTACTATCAATTTACTTCAAGTATTCATGTATTTTCTTTCTTTTATTTATGTTTATTTATTATTCCTATTTTTATTCTTGCAGTTGCACATTTTCGTTACTTGTCCACACCCTCTGAATGAGCAAAATTCATATTATTAAATATTTCCTTTTCTTTTGCTTTCAAAAGCAAATTTAAATCTATAAATACAACTACATTTTACTGCAGTTTTATGCACATTAATATAAGTAAGACCTATATTAGAAGACTTGCAACAAATTATTTAAACCACTAAATGCACTAAAAATAAACATATCACAGTAAAAGTTGGACTACTAGTATGGAAATTTAAATGAATAACAGTAAATAAAATAATAACGATTTTTACATCCTGAGTAAAATATAAATATAGTTGGGTGCTTAAAATACAGTATGTTACTTAAGTACTGAGCGTAACGTAATACCTTCTGTGAATGAACAATGGCAAAACTTATTTCCACTGATTTGTCACTAGAAGTAACAGTGGTGTGTATAACTTGTTTTAATGTTATTACTAAAACTTAGTTATTGTTGAATTTATTTCAATAAATTTAAGCTTACAAGATCCATCAACACGCTAACAACAATATAACCCCCCCAAAAAAAAGTAATCCCTCTAAAACAAAAAAAATTATTTAAAAAAATCCACTGACACATGCCAATGGTTTAATAGTTCTAGATGGCACCAGCTACTTAAGTTAATAACAAGTATGGCATGGTTGAAGACAGACAGCCGAACACCACTACATGTACTAACTTGTCTACAATATAAACATAAACTATACAAGAGTCGTACATCTAATCATCAATTTAGTTCTATGTTATGCTGATACGAATTGCATAAACAAATTTTCCCAGTCTTAGAGAAAAAAAATTTGTGCTGTTAGTTGGAAGATTTGTTACAGATGCATTTTTATGTATTATTACGCAGATAGCGTACTTTTGTTACAAAAGTATATTTGAATACCTGTTGGAAGTTTTGGTACATCTGCATTTTTTTCATTCACAAAAAAGTTAAAAGCATTTCTCCTAGGAATTCCCACATGGTTTCTTTTGATGTAAAATCATTATTCATCAATGTTTTGGAGAAAGGCGCAGTAAGATGTCTAAACACCAGACTTTATGAATTTCATTTCTCTTGCCCCAAAATTGATGAGCTAATAATTTCACTCACTCAACTCTGTTTGAAACAAACGCATTTTGTTTTCCAAAATAAGTATTACAAGCAAGCTGAGGGATTGGTCATGGAAAGCCCTCTTAATCCCATCTTTGCTGATATCAACATGCATTAGTATGAATCAAAATTATTTGAAACTTTGCCAAGTAGACAATACTTTTACCCTATTTGATGGTAATAAAGATGATTTAAAGTTCTTTCAATAATGAATTCCATTGATCCAGCTATTCAGTTCACTTCTGAACTAGAGACATCCAATTATCCTCCATTCCTCAACATTTTGGTCACATATAACATATCATGTAACATATCCAACTTCTGTGCTACTGTTTACCAAACCTTCATCAGTTTGCCTTCCACCACACTTCAAATCATGTCATTTGACTTAACAGAAGTTAGCATCATTTTATTCCTTTGTTTTCCGTGAACTTCAAGTTTGCTCCTCCAAACTAACCCTTGATCTAGAACTAAATTACTTAAAAGCAGTTGCTATTGAGAGGGGCTTTTCACCCAACATTATTAACAAAATGTTTAAAAATTTCTCATCTCAACACATCAAAAGGCACTCTCTCATCTTGGGAGATTACAAGAATTTATGTTGTCAATCCTTTCTTTTTATCGATTAGCTATAAAAATGCTCGTACTCTACAGAAATTTAATTCTCTCTCTCTCTTTTTTTTTTTTTTTCTTCTATCAATAAAATTCCCAGTTCCATACTTAAGGATCCCATTCTGGATATGAGTTCCTGGGGTATTTATCGGATTTCTTGCCAGTGTGGTTTAATTTACATTGATTAAAAAAAGAGATCCTTAAAATTTTGTGTTAAAGAACATGAGGCACATGTTAGGAAAAAGAATGACCAACAATGCTGAGAACAGAAACCCTCTGTTGCTCAGCATTGTTGGTCAGAAAATCACTCTTTCCATTTCTACAGCAAAAATTATTCAAGAAACATCTTCCATTGGTGAATTAGTTTTCTAGAGGCGTTTCACATTCAACAACTACAAAAATTTCTTTTTAAGTTAATGACCCAAATTCCAATCCATCTTTATCCTCAGCCCTTTCAGAAATTATGTTTTAGTTTTCTTGTTTCATCAATAGATGGTGCCAGTAGCTTGACTTCTTTGCAGCCATTCTTATCTTATCACCATATTCTATCTCGCTCATTTTGAAACTAGTCCTGCAACATTTACAAACATTATGCTGATTCTTGTTGTTTAACTTACTTCTAAATTAATCATTATTCAGTGTGTTATTTTAACCTAAATTAAAAATTCATTTCCATTTAATGTAAATTTGATTAATTCTTGAAAAGGTGGTTTAATTTCATTAAAGATAGATATAAGCCCTATTTTTTTTCTTTGCATTTTTTTTTGGGAGGGGAACTAATATTTGGGTCTGTATGAAGTGGAGTATTTCCAAAGTTACAGGATTGGGGTATCAACAAAAGCTATGGTACACGACTTTGAAAACGGATAAATAATTATAAGTAATTTAAGTTTTTTATATGCTATATCCATAATTTGTATCTCTTTAGTATCCATTTAAATAAAGAACAATCTGCTTGTTCAAACTTCTGCTGGAATGATTGGTTACATCTTCACCAACTTTCATGTTCGGTGGAATTTCATAATTGGATCAGATGCTCTATTTTCATGTTTAAGGCATATGAAATACATTGGCTTTTAAGTTCAAAATGCCTTTTCTTTTCCAAATTTTGTATAATTTTAAATGTAGGCTTTTGATATTCAAGTTGGTAACAAATAACATGACTCTTTTCATAATTTTAGAGCAGAAATTTTCATGTATCTTGAATTAGGTATTTTCCAAGTTTTCAATAGCTTTCCCAGATAGTCGAGCTTTCATTGCATAAATAATAAAAAAGAGGCAATAATCTAACTGAAAGCAGTTTTTATTTAACCCTGCCCACAAACATACACATAGACATGCACAAAAAAGGGGATTAATACTATTTAAAAATTTGACTATGTATATTTAGGAAACAATTAGTCATAGCACAGGACACGATATCATGGAAAACTGTATTTTATATAAAGGTTCACACATAAAACAAAACAGTCTAGGTTAATATGCTAAAAACAATGCTTAAACATTACAATTGTAGGAACTTTCACAAGCAACCATCTGCTTTATCTGTTGAATCGAAATGAATGGCTTGATCAAGTTTGTTTCCTTTTGTCAGAAAACTATATCTTATATAGAAAAATACTATATCCAGAAAATAAAAAAGTGAATGATTGCAATGGTCTCAGAACGAGCAGATGAAAACAGGTGATCTCGTCAGCCCCCCCCCAAAAACCAGACGTGTACCTCCAAGATATTAAATAAGTTGTTAGACATATTACCAGCATCTCTAAGATATATAGTACATTTTGCAAAATAGTGGAATAGCCCAACATAAAATACAATCTTACTAATATTAAACCTAATCTGATTTATAATACACAACATGTTTTAATACAGATCAAATATTGAGACCTTAGATAAATACAGTAATTTAGGGATGCACAATCTGTTGCCTGCATGTGGTCAACTTATGACGTGGCGAGATCTCTTAAAATTTTGTTATGATTTGACATGTTGTTTGTCTCTAGAAGGGATTGCGAGCAGAAAAAATTTCACCGCATCCCCCTTCATCATTCATTCTACTCTCTCCTCTTGAAGTGAGATTTGGCCCTGAGCCAAGTTCGCGGCATTCAACCAAAGCAAGTTCCACCGCCTGAGCGCGAAAAATGTTCCTAGCCTGTATAGCGCACAGATTGAGGAAGGGTGTGGTATAATGTAGCACAAGTATGTTTGCACACACCCGGTAGTAAAAACGGAGAGAAAAAAAATTTGCTCAGGTCGGAAGGTGCTGCATACATTTGTTTTGGCATTGATGCAGTTTTGCCTTCATGACAATATATTGTTTTATCACTTGTGTGTTTTTCTTTTTGAGATCATTAAGAAGTTTCTTTAATATTATTCTGAAAGAGAAACCAACAAATAATTTTCGTCATTTTTGTTCCACATGGTTTTGATAGTTACTTGCTATGCTTGAAAATGGAAAGAAAGGTGGCTAACAATAATAGGAAATTTTCAGAGGCCTGGACTTCGAAATACTATTTTGTGGGGCAAGATAATAAAATTACATGCTTGATACATAATTTTACAATTAGTGTTTGCAAGGAGCATAATATTAAAGAACACTATGACACGAAAAACTCAACATTTTCAAAGCTTGAGGGAGAGGATCAAAAACGTAAAATTGAATCTCTTCAATGTTTGTTCTCTTGTTGCACAAAGAAATGTATTTACAAAAGCATCTTCACAATCAGATGAATGTGTTGAAGTTAGTTTGGGAACTGCAGCCTTAACTGCTAAAAGTGGCCACTTATTTACTGATGGCGATTTTGCAAAGGGGTGCATATTGTTGGTGTCCATGGAAAGTATGTACTAAATCTATGAAAAAATTTTAAAATAAAGCAGAATGACAATTCAAAGAAGAAGTGAACTTTTACCTGATGATGTTAATGAACAATCAGAGATTGCTGCCACAAACTTTAAGTACTTTTCTCCCACAGCTAATGAGTCAACAGACACTACTTCAACAGCTCAGCTGCTTTTGTTTGTTAGAGGAATTTCTGAAAATTTTATATCTGAAGTAACTGAAGAACTTGTTGGAATGAGTTCAATGAAGGGTCGGACAACTGGAGCTGATATTTTATCTTCCCATTTCAAATTTGTGTTCTGCAGATAATTTTGATACAAACAAATTTGTTAGTATCACTATTGATGGAGTTCCAGCCATATTGGAATTCAAAATTGCATGGTGAGTCTACTGAAAAACCATTTGGCTTATCGAGACAAAGATTTGTTTGGGTAGCAATGTATCATATACCAAGAACAGCTGTGTGTTAAAGAACTAGGATTCGACTGCCTAATGAAGGTAGTGAGCAACACAATCAATTTTATTCGCTCATATGTTTTAAACCACATGCAATTTAAGGAAATCCTAGAACACACAGATGCACCACATAATGATCTCATATAGTACTCTGGAGTACGGTGGTTGAGCCGTGTAGAGGGCCTTGAAAGGTGTGCTCTAATTTGATTGATGAAATGCCACCATTCCTTGAAGAAAAAGGCAAGCAAACTAGGATGTTAAGGAATCTTTCAAGTGTGACTTTATGATTTTCAGTTGATGTGACAGCCCATCTGAACAGCCTAACAAAAAAGTTGATAGAAAAAAACCAATTCATCAGTCAACTGGCCAATGCAGTATCTGCTTTCAAACAAACTCCAGTTGTTCTCAAATCAACTCGGCTATCAAAATTTTGTCGATTCTCTTTACCTGAAGAAAATCAAGAAACATTTTTCTGATAAACAAATGTATCATTCAGATCAAATAAAGATATTGCTTACTTTCATTTGAAAATCGATTTACAGATTTTGAGTAGCGTAAGATTAAATTTAAACCATTTGGGGATCCATTTTCTATTGTAGTCAAAGAAGCTCCAGAAGATGCTCAAATGGAATTTATTTACAAACTTCTGACTTCAAATCCAGATTCTGTGATTTAGACACTCTTGACTTTTATAAAACTCTTACCTGTTGAATTTTTGCACTTAAAAAATAATGCAAGCAGATGTGCAGATGTTTGGTAGTACTTACATATGTGAACAAACATTTTCTCTTATGAATTTAAATAATTCAAAATTAAGAAATAAGCTGACAAATCAACAGTTGCAATCTGTCTTACGAATATCAGCAACTAGCTTTCAACCAAATATATGAAAAACTGTTGATAAAATTCGGTCTCAATCATCCCACTAATGTATTTAACTATATGAAGTAGATATTTTTATTAAAATATTTATATATTAAATTATCATGCACAAACATAAACTGTAATTTTTTTTCCCAAGCTGAACTGGATGTGTTGGCCCTAGTAGCATATGCATGCCCCCTCTCTCCTTATTTACTTACATATGTAATGGTCTCCAAATCTGTTTAAATTTGATATCGTTCATTTCTGAATTGCAAATTCAGCAACTTATTGCAAGTTCATAAAATGGAAATTAACTAATTTAAATAATGTCTCTATTCACAGAAGCTTACTTCCTGATTTGCATTCAAAAACGGAACCTTCCACATTTTTTATGAGATATCTCAGATATACACTATTTGTATATTTCTTATAGCTAAGAATGGATCTGATATTTCTTGCCAACTAATACAAGCACAGTCTTGTGCTGCTCCTATGAAACCTGTGTTGGTCAAGATTTGAACTATTGGCTTCCTGTGTAAGTATTAGACTATCAGTGCTATTAAGCAAGATTTTTATTTTGAGCAAGTATCTATCTACTACTACTAATCAAATTCAGTGAATTCTATGTGATAAATAAAAAAGAATCTTGAGCTACCTTTGTAATGATTCAAGTTAAAGAAACAAGGTCTTCAAGCAACCCAAATCAATGAAATATTCTGGGACAGCTGAACCCTGTTATGTTCCTTCAATAGGATGCTCTTCTGACGCACTTACCAAAAAGCAATGGTAGGAAGAACCATTTAAGAACCTGAAGGAAAATGGCCAACATGTGAAGTAATTCTATATTGTGATTTGTTCACTCACAAAGGAAGAAAATTATCGTGACAAGTATATCTAGAATATTAAATGATTACTGGTGAGTCTGATTCGAAAAGAATTTCTGAATGCTATTAATGATAACATTTGTGAATTTTATCCTGTAACAGATGAGAAAGGACTAAAACCAAGAATGAAGAACATATTCAATGTCTACATCCTTTGGAACTGACTGATACTGAGGGATCCTCTTTCGAGATAAACGTTATTGCTGGATGGTAACAGATCTGTTAGTAAACCTATATAAACTGAACCTTTTATCAGGACTTGAAATGAATGCCAAGTTAAACCACCAATGAGACTACATGTTTGATTTGGTGACTTTGTTGTGTTATTCAAGTAGTCATTATACAAAGTGGGAGTATTTTACAGCCACTTACAAAATGATTAAAAACAAACTATGAACTGAACTGAATTCAGACAATTGGGATGTAAAAAGTAGCAATACTTCAATACTCAATTCCCTTTGCAGGAATACTCATTTCTTTTTGTAACATACATATATATTTCTTTGCATAGTTAAAATTTGAAAATAAATTAAAATGCCTCTGCATTCATCAAGTAAGACGTTCCTTATTTAGGCTGGCTGGTGTTGAATCTGAAAAATGGAAGGTAAGACAGAAATTTGCTTACCTTTCGTTTTCATCGAGTTACGTATTTCCTTACGCAATGATCTCATCACCTCACAAATTAGTTCACAATTTGGAGACATAATCTGCCATAACCCCAGTCCCATCCATCTGGAAATGGTTAACAACATAAAAATCAAATGTCAGCACAGCAGTTATAGTGAATGTATATACCACTACCTTCTGTGATGAAAAAGTCTAATACAAATACTGAAGAATACAAACTGTAGTGAAGATACAATAGACAAGTTGGACATCTAGAAAACTATCAAAAGAGCTGCTGAGCATAAGGAAGATAATATGGAGATTCTCTGCCAACTAGTACACCAATGAAATTAATACATCCTTGGTTAAGTATTCCTAAGAATATCCAAGCTTGATACTTGAATAAGATAAAGATAAAAACCACCAAAAAAACCCTAACACAAATGCAACCTTAATATTATTGAAGTTGTCATCAAAACTGCCTCACCATCATGTTGCAATACAGAACTTCTGCTCACACTGCTACATATCTGGACATCAAATCTAAAAAACACAGCAACTCTATACATAGCAACCTTGCATGAAACAGCGATAAAAGGAGTTTGATCGAGCCATTCATTCAGAATCCAGCTAATGAAGAAACTGCTGGCCTCTTGAGAAAGCTCCTACAATAACATAGTTTAAATGTGGTTTTTAGCAAGTTAGCCTACATTTTAACAACTTTTGATTCCTCAAATCTACATTTATATCTACATTGCTTTTATATAATATAAATTATTACTGGAACAGAATACTTAAAAGTTTTTCAGACAGAAATGATCATCAAAAAAGAATAATTTTATGAATAAAATTTGTGAAAATGAAACTTAAATATCTACTTACAGTTCCAGAGGTAGGTAAACTTGGATTTTTCATTATTTCTGCTGTGCACTGTTCAACATCTGTTAGGAATTTATCAGCAATTCCTTCATAAGTATGTTGCATAGTTATGCAAATATGAAAACCTGCTGGGAACTGAAGTATGTTGAGATTCCAACCTCTTTCAGTAAGTGCACTACTTAAGTGATAAATGTCAAATGATTTTGATCCTACGGCTATGACGCTCACTTCAGGACAACCATAAACAAATATGTGATTAATCTTCTTCAAACTATGTATGAAAAAAGAATAACAAAAATAAATTACTCATTACTTTGGAATCACTAATGCAGATATTATATAAGAAATTCTTACACTTAACCTTCATAGGAAGGTCCTTACCCATTTTCAATATACTTTGTAACAGAAATAATTTTCTGTGTAGATTTAATATAATTATCTTCTCCATGATATAATAAAGAAGCCCAGCATGTTGCAATTACTCCACCAGATCGACTACCTTATAAAAAAAAATTAAACACATAATCATTAAGACTTTTTATCACCATTTCACACTTCTATAATGCAAACAATTTTTATTTACAGTCATACAAAATCATTAATTAAAGTAATGAAAAAGAATTACAAAAGCTCTTTTTATTACACATTATAATACAAAATAAGGTACTCTCCGATCATCTGCTCAACCCTGACCATGATTTCTGGCAGTGTTCCTTCTAATTTTTGACTGCTAATGAACATTTTTTTTTTTTTTTTTAAACTACAAGAATTACCTGTGGACTTATTTTTCACTCTTACTTTTATATTTAAATTAACAATATTTTAATACTATAATACATTTAAAAAACTATTTATGAGTTAAAAATTAATACATTAATATACATATAAATATAACACAATTATATACTAAAATACAGCTTAACTTTAATCATTCTAATACAAATTAAGGTACTCTCTGATTACCTGCCCATCCCTGACAAGGATTACCACCAGTGTTCCTTCTAATTTTTCACTGCCGATGAACTTTTTTTTTTCACTCTTACTTTTATACAGTACAAAGTCTGTAATCCGGATGCCCATTATCTGGAATGATTTATAATCCGGACATCAAAGCCACAAACTTTTTTTTTTAGTATGCTTTACGCATGTGCATGCACATTGAGAGGATGAGTCTTCAGATATGTTAAAAAATGCTTGCCATAATTTATGGCAAGCTGCCATATTTCATTGTGAGGACAATGAAGATGATAGCCGCGAATCTGAAGGTTTTCGGACATCACAAACTAAAGGTGAAATTTTTCCAGTTATTGGATTTTGTAAAGAAATGTGGAGAAGCGGTAATATGAAGATGATATAACAGAAGTTTTTGATTGCGACGACAATGCCTCAATCATCAATCAATTAATGGATGGCGAAATCTGTAGTATGGTTCTAGATCCAGAAAATAACGCTTCTGATACGTGGAACTTTGTAACTGAACAAGAAATTATGTCTGTTTATAGAATTAAAGAGAAAGTATTAGCGCAAAAAACGAAGCAAGTTAAACAACTTGCATTAAAAGAAATGTTTAATAAAGTAAACAAATAAATATTAAGCTTTTTTTTTTTTGTAAATTTTGATACCCTTTATATCATAATTGCTCTTTATTTCATAAATTACGGTTTCATATTTTTAATTGTATAATTTCTGCATGCCATCTTACAAGATTTAAATTGATGATCTATAATCCGGAAATAATCCCTAATCCGAAATCGAAGTCCCGACGAGTCTGGATTACGGACTTTGTACTGTATTTAAATTAACACTATTTTAATAATATTCATTATTTTCAAAAACACATATATTTATGAATTACAAAATTAACGCATTAATATACGTGTAAATATAACACATTTATACACTAGATTATTGCTTAATAGTAATAATGTTCAGATTTATAAAAAATAATGACAAATAGTACATTTATATGAGTATTATTAAATTATTGCTCTTCCATCTTTTGAATTTAACCATTCAGCATATATGCAGTTCAAATTTATACTGTTTCCTCTACTTAAATAAAATTTTACTTGCATCAGTGATAAATGATTCTTTCTTCACTTAATGGAAATGACATTTACAGTCAACACTAGATACCAAAAATGTTGCATCAATATCCATTAATTCAGAAAATTGTTCTTTTTGTTATAAAAACATTACGAGAAAAATTCTGTAATGAAAACATTACCAGAAAAATTCTGTAATGAAAATATTACCAGAAAAATTTGTTAGCAATTAACACATAATTTTTTTTAAATTAACAGTAAATTTAAAACCATTTTATTGTATCAGAGTTATTTTTTCTATTAATATGTTGCTGTATTTTATGCATAATATTTTGATTAGTTCTGTGCCATAATTAAAAAATCACATGCACTTAATGTTGCTCATTACTGCACTTCATTTTCAGGAAATCTTTCTTCTAAATGACAGTAATGTAAATTTATAAAAGTTAACATAGAATTAGTGTTTATTTCAATCCTTTTTTTCCTTGGCTTTATGGAGAAAAATTTTCACAACATTACTCCAAGCAATGCTGTTGTGGTTCATATATTATTCTTTTACCACAAAGTGAAATGCATCAAGAAGTGTTAGTGATGTTGAAAAATTTTACACAAGATCTTCAAAAACATCTTTTATAATATATAACCTTGCATGAAATTCGGTATTTTTCTATTTCCATAAACAGTATTTTGAAACAGTATTACTTCAGAAGTCAAACAACAAAAATCAGCGTTATATTTTCAAATTTTCACAAGACTAGTTTCGATGGTTTTACCGAACCACCATCGAAACTAGTCCTGTGAAAGTTTGAAAATATAACGCTGATTTTTGTTGTTTGACTGAATTAATATTTGTTCGACGTGTTATTGTGTCTTAATTAGTATTACTTGCTTTATCTTCTTTAAAGTATTTAATTAACAGAATTTTTTATGTTTTTAGTGTAAAATATCTAGATAAGCATCAAGCTTAATTTATTGGTTTAAACGTAAAGCTTCATTTTCTAAAGCAGTAGCAATATCTTGAAATTTATCAGTCTTTCTTGCAGGTCTAGAAAACACAGAGTATTTCATTTTTATCAAAGTTTCAATGTGTCACATTAACTTAATTTCTCTTGAAGCACTGCATTGATTGCTTGAAGAACACAAATCTTCACATTGAGCAACACAGTGTTATTGAGCCAAATGCGATACATTTTCTTTTAGTTTTGCTGCTTCTTCATTTATCTTATCAAACTGCCCCATCAAAAGTAAACATAACCAATTTTGCCTCACCAGAAGTAAATATATCTTTTGTAAATCAATATGATTTTCTCTATAAAATTCTATTACTGCAGAAACAACTGAAAAGCATCACAAGATTTAATTGAATTATTTCAACAAAAATAGTTTAATACTAGTTATTTTGTGGATATATAAAATTTTAGTATAATATTACACATTTGGTGATAAAAATGTCAGTACTTTTGTTGACAGTCAACAAGTATAAAAAAAAAAAAGATACAGTTCTTTTATCATGTGTTTTACCACAGAATTAATAATTTCTAAAAAATTTTCGAAGCATAGTTCTTAACTTTGGTAATTTTCTGGAATTTTAACAAATTTTGACATATGATCCAGGGCTTAATTTCTAAAATTAGAAGTGCTGGAGTTCTATGGAAGACTGAGGAACGAAAGAAAAAATAAATAAACAAAATAGCTAAAAATTAAAATAATTAAATTTAAATTAGGAGGAATGTAAACAGAAATCTGATAAATTATTAAATTAATTTTAAACAGTTAAATTTTAAAAAAATCCGACTTTGTCTTATATAGGGCATCGGCTGGAATTACAATTCTACTTAGAAGCCAAGAAGCAGCTCAGCCAATCTCTGTCTGAATTTAAACCCTCATTATACATATAATATTCCAAGGGATGACCCGCACCACTCTTATTTTGCAGCACAACAAGGAAAAAATATAAAACGATTTAAACTCCACTGAAAAGAATCATGAGAATTCTAGACACAGTATTAAGATATGGAAAGAAATTTTAATGGAAAGTGTAGCTTAGAAAATAAAGAGGTAAGAGTTCAAGACTTTCTGATCATGATGCCCTGTCGATATAATTCTAGCCATCAAGAAGAAATTTTCGCCGAATACGATTCAGTAACAACGTAAAAATAAACATAGGACTTCTCTATACAAGTGACAGCAGTGGCGCCCCATTTGGTTGCATCATTCAGACAGTCTACAGGAGTTCTGCAATAGGAAGTCACTAGCATGGAACGTGCAAGACCAGGGTATTACTTTTAGTACTTTGAGGAACACAAAATTTGCCCATTGTCATAAATTCATTGCACATCCTGGAGGATAAGCCTTTGACATATGATTGGGGGCTTTTCTTTCCTTAAAAGTCTCTACCTCTGTTCAAGGTTTGAATGCGAAGGAAAGACAGGCCTACATTCAGAAGTTAGAATTAATTTTGAAGGCATGTTTGCTATTAAAACAAAAGTTGCTTACTAAAATTGTCGTTCACATACATAAAAGAAGTGCCGGAGCCCTTTTGCTTCAGTCTCCGGCTAAATTATAATTTATCTCAAAAACTGAGGAGTACCGGACTCGGTCTACGGTGCAATTTAAGCTCTGATATGATCATTTATATCCTGGACTAAGTGCAATAAAATGTTCGTATTAATTGCTAGTAAAACATTACCAATTAATGCTGCCCAGACGGAAAAGTGGTTAGTGACTCTGACTGACATTCTAAGTGTCCAGATTCCAGTCCAGAAGGCATGGATGTAATTTGCCCATCCCTTTACAGGAGGCAATGGTGGCCCACCTAATAGGTGTCTCCATAATACAGAGACCACAGCTTTTGGCCTTAGTATGGCCAATGCCTACAGCCCACCATTTGGGGGGGGGAATCATTATCTATTAAAATTTTATTTTTTTCATGAATGGACTTTTGATGCTCATCTGAGGACTTACTTAATAAATGCACTAATTCTGCTGCTGGTGGCAATGGATGTTTGTATCTTAATTTTGTTACAATTTAAATACCGCTTAAAAAAAAATTCCATTTTCCAAGTATCTGGTTTTTTTTTTTCCCTTTTTCTTTTCTTTTCCTTTTTTGGGGGGGGTATTTTTTCCCCCATTAATAAAATCATTATTTCAATATCCATCATGCTAGTGAATACAAATAATTAAATTTTTTTCATTGTATAAAATTATTTTCCATAATGGAATTTGTAATCTATTTTTAATGTTTGGTGTGTCTGTTTAGACTATTTCATTAAACCATTCAATTTTAAAATCTCTTGCTGTTTTTCTTCTTTTTACAAATTTTCCATGGTTTTATATATATATATATATATATGAACATACAGTACAATGCATAAATATATATATTGAGAGAGAATCTTATAGAGACTACACTTATAAAGAATCCACCCTGTGCTAACTGTTGCTTAATAACATG